TTTCTGGCAATAGATTTCGCCTTGTAAAATTATTGCCAGATCTACTCAAACTTGGGGTACTTTCCATGCGCACAGTGTTGCGAACGCTGGATACCGTCGTTGGAGTTGTTGTCATTTCAAGTCCAAGATCAGGACTTATGGAGTTGTCTTCCGGAGGCATAGGTATCTGAGGAGTTGTTGGTGCCTTTGGATCATGTCAGAAAAGTGCCTTGTGCCCTGACTGACATTTCCCTCTGAAATATTTGAGTCTGTCGTTGTAGGGCGAACATGATGTCCTCGCTGATGTCGATGAACTAGATGCTGTGTTCTTATTACTTTTCTCTGCACGTTTCTTTCCATACAAATGTACGCAATTCCACCGGTTTGGTGGTAGTCGCCCCATAGCACAAAATACTTTTTTATATAAATAAATCGCGTAAAGTTCAATGTACTCACAGTTATTAGAATATACATGGTTTGGAGACTAGATGGAAGTACAATACAACTCATTATCTATGTTATTGTCCAAGTTTATGCAAAGAATGGTTTCTTATTCGTCACATGCCTATTGTATTTTTGTCCAACTAACCAATAGCAATGGCTTGGCTTAGCTCCTCAACCGCGACGTGAACAACATGTAAATTCAGACCTTACTATTGGTTTATTGGTTCAAAATACAATAGACACATGATGATTAAGGGACAATTTTTTGCATGATGTTCCCCGACATAGTTAATGAGTTCTATTGTACTTTTATGTAGTCTCCAAACCATGTATATTCTATTAACTGTGATGCACTTTACACTGTGTATGCGTGTTGTTGAATAATTCATGGCATGCTTTCAAATCATGAACTTTCGGTCAGGGAGTTGCGACGTGAATGACATGTGAAAGTCATATCAACAATAAATCACAAATTTTGTGGGTTATAATAGGTTGATTACACCGGTTGATTATCATTATGCTTGTGGGCGGACGGGTATTAGCTTTATTCGATATTGATATATATTAAGCTTTAAATCAATATTTGATCCCATTAGTGAAAAAAGAAAGTACTGTGAACATTGTCAAGAGTTCGTTACGCTAAAAAGATATCATACGCATGAAAAGCTATTTCGAAAACATGTGTTGTTTCTTCGGATGAAGAAGATGAACACTCCATTCCAGAACATATTAATGATAGTTCCCCAGACGAATGTGAAGGAAAGTTCCCTAAAGACAAAGGAGGCGACATTGGTTCGGATTGCTTTCATGGTAAGCCCTTTCTTTAAAGGGCACTTTTTAGCGAAAACAATAGGATATGTGCTTTTAGATTAGTGTCCCCTGCTCCCTATTAAATATTTGAAGCTGTTCATGCACCCACAGGCCTAATTTAGCATTAAGGCAGTTCTTTATTATTATATGATTGTTGCTTATAAATTTTTATTAATTTCTGCAGATATTTGGAGTTAAAATGAGGTATTTTTATGTTTAGTATGGGCCAGTAGGAAGGTATTTGTTCACTTGGATTAGGGTGGACTATTAAAGGCAATCAGGTTACACCATGGCAGTTTCTTCAAATAACAGCAGAACAAATAACAACTGCCTCAAATATACAGTTGATTGGCTAATTGTCATATCTATAGGCAGTTGATGAACAACCAATTTTCCTTTCCTAGGACTAGGGTGACTGTATCATCAGACTAAATAGAGTCACAACACTGCTAGACAAACACAATAACATTACTTTTACATAATTGTATACACTTGATGTTTGCAGGCATAAATGTGTGTTTTTGGCCTTACTAGGGTGGACATATACACTGAGGGGGGGGGGTAAATTTAGGGAGGGGGCTTATTATGTTCACCCAATTTGCCAAACAGTTTTCTTACAACTGGCCCATGATGATCAGGATTGCTTGAGAACTTTTATGCATCAGGGTTTTAGAGGTAGTTGGCCTGGATCCTGGATGTATAAGACAAGTAGTAAAGATCAAAAAGGTATGAGAACCACAAACACGCCTGGCATTTTCGGCTTGTATAGGCTCCTTTGTTTTAACTTATTTTTATTTCATTTGTGGTGTACATGAAACAAAAAAAGCCTATTAAAGTTTGTATGCTTTTATTTTTTTTAAAAATGTGTTAGTACACTTGATATAATGCCTTTTAGAAAGGCAAAATTTTATGGTCGATTCAATGTCGGAGAATACACGCGCCGAAAAAGCTTAGGCTGGGCTGCTGTTGAAGATAAGAATAGAGAGGTAAAGAATGCTAAACAGAAGCTGAATCGATTAGATGCAAAGGTAAGGAGCTTTCTTGTACTTTTTGTATGATTTGACTCCGAACTTCTGATCGATGATATCATGAATTCTGCTTGTTCAGTATGTCTATGTCTATAGTATACATATATATGTTTTTCAAGATCGTGTCATGCACGCATGGTCTTAAACTTAACTATCACACACATTTAACTACTAAGCAAGCTATTTTGCAATTTAGTGCACTTTGTCTGTGCACTTTCGCAATTTAGTGCATTTCTTGTTGAGTAAACTGGTTAAACCGTGGTTTAATTTTGTATTTAAACAAACTAGCCTTGTTTACATGCTTGGTCATTTTTTTCAGAAGTCTTGTTTGCATCAGTAAAAATGTTCTTTTTCTAAAGCTTTGAAATAGTGATTAGGCACAAAGCTGTTAGTGCTTATCTATAGCGGTCATGTACAAAACCCATGTTACTGGCCATATATATATATATATATATATATATATATATATATATACATTCATATATATATATATATATATATATATATATACATTCTGAAAGTTTTGGTGGCAACACCAGCTAACCCATTATGCTGCAGTACACCCTAGTGCACCCTACTTATCTTTTTTGACAAACGTCAGATGATTTTACTTGTCAATGGGGAAGCTCTGGACCTGCTGTTTATTGCGGTGTAACAAGTTAAAAGATTTTTTCACCTTTACATGCAGGTGCAGAAATTAGTAAGTGAAGCTGAGGAGTTAGATAACATCAGGGAAGAGTTAGTAGATGAAGCAGGTGAACAGAAGGTAGCATTTAGTATTAGCAAAGCAGGAGCAGAAAGGAGGAGAAAGAAACCAACAGGAGAAGGAAATTATAGTGAGTCGACAGGGAAAAGGCATAGAATGGCGACCGTGTCAGCAGTTAGTGCAATACATGGAGGTGAGAATAGTTTAAAGCCAGGGACGATTGGAAAGTTGGAGACATTGAACAAGAGGTGTAAAGAGAAAGATATAGTTGATGGCATAAAGAGATATCCAAAGTTAAAAGATAAGGTTCTACCAAAGTTGTACAAAGAAGATTTAAAGAGATATGAGAGTTCATCAGATAATATGTTAAGATCTATTGCTGTGTACTATAGAAAGGGTGTAATGGGTAAAGATAAATATAGATTAGTATATAAGGATAGTTCATATAAGCAGGAACCAGGTAGAAAGCGAGCTATGCGTATTAAGGTTGCCAACTGCCCTTCTCCCCGGCTTGTTCCGTACCACAGGTTAATGTTGTATATAAAATCTATTGACATTGGTGAGTTGCACAGTGTTCGTGAAACTCTGTGTGATGGGTTGGATGAGTGTGACAAGGTTAATGGTTGTTATAGGGATATTGAAGACCTTCTGGTGAAATTGGCTGAGTTCTACCTGAATCATGGTAAGTATAATCTCCTAACATTTGACCAGCCTAATACATTTCATGTTGCTTTGGGTGGAGATGGTGCCCCTTTTGGAAAGGACGATACAGCATGTTCATGGCTTTTAAGTTTTCTAAATATTGGACAAGGTGTGTTAAGTACCAATGATAATTTTCTTTTTGGTGCCAATTGTGCAGAGAATTGTTTACCGGTAAGGCGCTTCTTGGGTAAGTTAATGAGTGATATTGGAAGAATTCAGAGTTCTTCGTATTCTATTCTAGCTAAGGGGGCAAGCATTGACGTTAAATTTGTGTTTGCTGAACTGCCAAATGATATGAAAATGCTTGCCTTCTTAGCTGGAAAGCTAACTAACAGTGCCACATACTTTTCAACTTTTGCAGATGTAGACCAAGAGTCATTGACTAAAATTGGGACATTTGGTTGTAATGCATCTGATACGTGGAAACCCTGGAAATACACCGACAGGATCAAAGTGGTTAAAACTGTTGAAAAATTTAAAAAGAAAATAGAGTTGAAGAAAGTTTCAGCCAACACCAAAAGATCAAACATTACATCTTTTATTGCCAAACAAAAAAGCCGCCAAGAGTTTGTTCCCTTGGTGGCTGAATTGATTGACCGTGCACATGTTGAACCGCTTCATTTAAAAAATAACGTTTGTGCATTGGCACATCTTTATCTTTTAAATCAAGCAATTGAAATGTCCAAACCTAATCTCCCATCTTCTTTTTCCCAGGTTCAACCAGAAACACCTTTTTATAAGTTCATTGATGTTCTTCGATCTAAGTGCAATTTGAACAGACTTGCAAAGAGAATCATACAATGGTACGACGATAATGCAACCAATGATGCGAAAACGTTCAACTATAGATTTACAGGTAAGGATTCTCGTATGTTTCTACATAATTTTATGTTTCTCATTGATATGCTTGAAAAAGGTGTTTCTGGTAAAGCTGCTGAATTGCTTCATGTTCATGCATATCTTTGTCTTTGTTGAATTGCTGTTTCTTTGTTCACTCGTGTGAACATTACAGATGAGCAAATCATAGATTTAAAGCAACACTGCACCAACTTTTATCGTGGTTATTGGTTATTCTTCAGGGTTAATCCTACAGTGTGGACCCTTGGATGTTGTATGAAATTAGACGTTATACTTGCCCGGGGATTTAGCTCCGGGGGTCTTTGCACGGGGTCTTTATATATCGAGCACATGGAAATTGAGTTGTTTTTTTTTTTGTTGAATTATAGTTTATATTTTATCGAGTTTAGTTCATATTATACGGATTTTTCCGTACATGGTCCTTCGAGCCGGATATTTTCAAAAGGAATTTAGAAATTCAATGTTTTTACATCATGGCTGAAGCAAATTTGACAACAATAAGGAAAATACAAGCAGGTCATCGAGCGCATACGACGAAAACTATTGCCAAGGCAAAGCAAGTTATTGAAAGCTTCGATGAAAATCAAGTCAGTGTCCTTCGTTCATATCAAGATGTTTTGCATCAGAAGTTGGAATTAATCCCAAAATTAGACGAAGATATTCTCCAGGGAACGAAGGACGACAATATTGAGAAGGAAATCGAGGATAGCGGCGATTTTAAACGTAATATTAAAGAGTGTATTTTTCAAATCGAAAGTGTTCTAGTTTCTACACAACAAGTAAGTGAACAAAGCACAAGTGGCGTTGCTACTCCGAATACAAGTGTCAATCAACCTTATCCAAGTCAAGTTAAGTTACCTAAGCTACATTTAAAGAAATTTAATGGGGATCCAACGTGTTGGCAACAATTTTGGGAATCATTCAATTGTGCAGTCCATGAAAATACGGTATTGAGTAGTATTGATAAATTCAACTATCTTCTTGGTCTACTAGAGAATACAGCTTTGCAAGCTATATCAGGTCTGTCGCTGAGTGGGGACAACTACATTGAAGCAGTAAAGATCCTTCAAGATCGATTCGGAAATAAGCAACTGATTATAAGCAAACATATGGATAAACTATTGAAGTTGCCAAGTGTATCAAGTCTACGGGATATCAAGAGTCTGAGGAGTGTCTATGATTCAATTGAATCGAATGTTCGATCACTAAAGAGCCTGGGAGTTAATTCGGAGATGTATGGAAGTTTGTTGGCGCCTATCATGATGTCGAAGTTACCGAACGAGCTTCGTTTGATAATTTCACGAAAAACAACATCAGATATTTGGGATATGGATACTCTACTTTCTACGTTTAATGAAGAGCTTTAAGCAAGAGAAGAGTGCAATTTTGTATCGGAAGCATCAGCCAGTGATAATTCAAAGAAGCCATACTGGAATGAAAAACCCAAACCATTTACAGCATCATCCCTATTTTCAGGTTCAGGAAATGAAGGTAAAGTAACCTGCACCTACTGCGGCCAACAACATCCCTCGGCGAGATGTACTATGGTTACTGATATTGCAGCAAGGAAAGCTGTTTTACGTCAGAAGGGACGGTGTTTCCAATGTCTACGGTCGAATCATATTATCAGAGATTGCCCATCAGAGAAGCGATGTTTCAAATGTAGTCAACGTCACCATACTAGTATCTGTCCCAAGTTATATCCTCTTCCAGGAATATCCCAAGAACAAGAGTCTACCAAGCCTGAAAAGGATGGAACTAAAAATGACCAAAGTCCAAAACTTCCTTCGACAGCAAACATTGCATGTATTGGCCAAGATCAACCGAAAGCGGTGCTCCTTCAGACTGCATCAGCCAGAATATCCAGTGTACAAAACCCACAAATTCAAATTAAAGCATGTATCATGTTTGACCTTGGAAGTCAAAGGATATATATATCAGAAAGCCTCAAAGAAAAGTTATCTCTCCAAGCTGTTAGATCCAATACATTGATGATTAAGACTTTTGGAAGTACATCAGAACAAATTCAAGAATGCCCTCTGGTTGAATGCATTGTGAACAGTCGTCATGATAATTCATCCTTATGTATCAATGCATATGCCGTACCTACCATCTGTGCCCCTCTTAATGGGCAGATCATCAACTCTGCAAAGCAGGAGTACACCCATCTGAAGGGACTCAGATTGGCAGAAGAAGCAAGAGATGAAGAAGAATTACGGGTTGATGTGTTAATTGGTGCAGACCACTACTGGGACTTTGTAGGTAAGATTGAGAAAAGAGGCGGCCAAGGTAGCCCAGTTGCTACTTACACAAGACTCGGATGGGTCCTCAGTGGGCCAGCGGTCGTGAGAGAAAGTCGAGCTGCCTCGATTAACCTTAGTTCCACCCATGTTCTTCGTGTCGAGACTGAAGTTGAAACCAGAAATAGTGATCTACAAAGCAAAGTAAAGAAATTTTGGGAATTAGAAAGCCTGGGCATCAAGAGTGAAGAAGAAAGTGTCTACCACAAGTTCCTTGAAGATACAGAATTTAAAGGAGAAAGGTATGAAGTCAAATTGCCATGGAAAGAGGAAAATGAACTGTTACCTGATAACTACTAGCTAAGTATAAACCAATTGAATTCCCAGCTAAGACGACTCAAAGCGAAGCCAAACGTGCTGGAAGAGTATGATTGAGTCATTGATGACCAACTGAAGGCCGGAGTGATAGAGAGAGTTAAAGAGTCAACACCAAAGCCCCTTGGAAAGGTACATTACCTGCCACATAGAGAAGTTGTTCGACCCGAAAAGTCCACCACAAAACTAAGAGTCGTATACGATGCATCCGCAAGATCAAATGGACCGTCATTGAACGATTGTCTCTATGTTGGTCCATCATTGTTACCTTTATTATTCGACATCCTTCTTCGGTTTCGACTCCACAGAATCGCATTGGTGGCTGATATAGAGAAAGCTTTCTTGAACATTAGCATTTCCGAAGAAGATAGAAGATTTTCTAAGGTTTCTGTGGGTTAATGACATTAAGAGTGACCAACCGGAGGTAGTAGTGTATCGATTTGCTCGTGTAGTTTTTGGAGTCGCGTCAAGCCCCTTCCTCTTAAATGCAACATTTCAGAAACACATCAACACATACCAGAGCACCGACCCAAAAATTGTGGAAAACCTGCTACAATCCCTCTATGTAGATGATCTCAATTCAGGAGCAGACAACACACCAGAAGCGCTACATCAGTACTCGAGAGTAAAGGAGATAATGCATCAAGGTGGATTTAACATGAGAAAATGGAAGACAAACTGTCCTGAATTAGCACAAATAATTAGAGAAACCGAGAATGAAGTATCAAGCACTCAAGATGCAATCACCTCTACAGAAACCTCTATGTCATATGCCAAACAAGTTCTTGGCTCCCAGCCTGATGATGAGAAAGTTCTTGGTGTAACATGGAACAACTCCACTGATACACTCATTTTTCGCCTCGACAAAATGGTGAACTGCGAATCAGAGTTGTTACAACCAATCAAGAAGCGTGATCTCCTCAGTTCAACCGCAAAGATTTATGACCCAATGGGATTAATCTCAGCTGTTGTTCTAATGATGAAAGTTCTGTTCCAGGATGCGTGCAAGGCTGAGCTAGACTGGGACATGTCGTTACCGTTAGAACTGAGTACTCGCTGGGAAGTGTGGAGAGCGAATGTGTCTAACTGTCGAGAAATTACCATTCCAAGATGTGTTATTCCTGAAAACAAGGAATCGATCCAGTCCGTAGAGCTTCATGGCTTTGGGGACAGTTCAAAATATGCCTATGGTGCGGTGGTGTATTTGCGAGTTGTACGTGAGAACAAGGTTCACATGAATATCATTGCATCCAAGAGTAGAGTAGCACCCTTAACAGAGCAAACCATTCCTCGACTAGAACTTTTATCGGCATTGGTTTTGGCGAGACTTATTCATTTAGTTCAGTTAGCATTTGCGAACGTGATCAAGATAACCTCAGTTTACTGCTGGCTAGATTCGATGATAGCTTTATCATGGATAAAGGGTACTTCTAAAGAATTCAAGCAATTTGTTCAAAATCGTGTGGTAGAAATCCGTAAGCTGGTGCCTGTGAACGATTGGAGATTCTGTCCGGGACTTAACAACCCAGCAGATATTGTTTCAAGAGGTATGTTACCTTCAGAACTGAGTCAGAGCAAGTTATGGTGGAATGGACCAGATTTCTTGGTAAGAAATGATTCTGAATGGCCTAAGATAGTGAAGAAATGATTTCTAACGATGAGGCTCGAAATCAAAGTGAGAGAGAAGTCAAATTCAAACCAACTGGTACAACCAGCTTGTCATGTGTAAATGGCAATGTTACAGAAAAGCAATCGCAATCATCGTTAGAGAACATTTTGCCAAAGGAACGATACAGCACTCTTGGTAAACTGCTAAGAGTTACAAGTTATGTTCTAAGATTCATCGCAAACCTTCGGGCAAAGGTTGCTGGAACTGAACAAAATCTAAGTCGTCTTTCCCTTGAAGAAATAACAGAAGCTAAGCATATATGGTATAAGTACATACAAGGAACGATTCAAACGAGCAAAAGTTCCAAGCAAGTTCAAGCATCACTGGGTCTATTCAAAGATGATTGTGGTATATGGAGATGTGGTGGAAGATTATCCAATGCTAATATTGAACTTTCTGCTAAACATCCAGTTTTCTTACCCAATGATCATTGGTTTTCTACCTTGTTGGTGGAAGAATGTCACAGGAGAGTAATGCACAATGGTGTAAGAGAAACACTTTGCGAAATTCATTCAGAACATTGGATTGCGAGGGGAAGACAATGTGTCAAGAAGATTATTGCAAAATGTACTACGTGCAAGAGATATGAAGGAGGAATACCAACTTATCAGATACCACCTCAACCATCATTACCAGATTTTCGAGTTTCTGACGACTTTGCTTTCACGAAAGTCGGTGTGGACTTCGCTGGTCCCGTTTATGCCAAACCAATCTTCTCAACAGGTGCGAAATCACCAGTTTTTAAGACGTATATCTGTCTATTTACGTGTGCCTCGTCACGAGCATTGCATCTCGAATTGGTTCCAGATCTATCTTACGAAGGCATTTATTTGCAGTTTACAGAGATTCATGTCTAGAAGAGGTATCCCAAAGATGTTTATTTCAGACAATGGAAAATCCTTTAAGGCAAATGAGCTTGCAGAATTCGCAACCGGAAATAACATCAGTTGGAAATTCAATATTGAGAGAGCCCCTTGGTGGGGAGGATTTTTTGAAAGACTAGTGAAATCGGTGAAAAGGTGTCTCAGAAAATTTGTTAGAAGAGCTAGATTGACGTACGAAGAATTGGAGACAGTCTTAGTGGAGATTGAAGGCGTTATCAACAGTCGTTCACTGACGTATGTGTATAGTGATGAAGTTTGTGAAGGTCCGTTAACACCTTCGCATATAGTTATGGGTCGTCGCCTTCTCAGTCAAGCACATGCCACGAGAGAGGAGACTGACACTCCTACGGGTAATTGACGTTTGTCGCGTCGCGCAACTTATTTGAAGAAATTGTTAGAACATTTCTGGAACAGATGGAGTCGCGAGTATTTGTTAGAGCTCAGAGAACATCATCGTGCCAAAGGAGTTAGAAGAAGTGCGAAGGTGAATCCCAAAGAAGGAGATATAGTTTGCGTGTACAAAGAGAAAAATCTATGGAGATTGGGAAAGGTCGAGAAACTTTTCAAAGGAAACGATGGTCAGGTTAGAGCAGTTGCACTCCGAATATGGAACAAAGGAGAAGAATCAATAACGTTACAGCGACCCGTTCAGAAAGTATATCCAGTCGAGGGATCTTGCATTGATGAAAATACAAGTGTTCCAGTAAGGAGGTCGGAACGAGTTGCAGCTATCGAAGCCAGAAAGCGGCAGAGCGAAAGCGCACAATAAGTACTTGTTTGTTATCACAGAAACATTGTACTGTGAACATTGTTGACATTATTAACTGACATGCGTCATTTAATTGGGGGGAGTGTGTATGAAATTAGACGTTATACTTGCCCGGGGATTTAGCTCCGGGGGTCTTTGCACGGGGTCTTTATATATCGAGCACATGGAAATTGAGTTGTTGTTTTTTTTTGTTGAATTATAGTTTATATTTTATCGAGTTTAGTTCATATTATACGGATTTTCCGTACAGATGTGTTGTTCCAATTCACACCAAGGAGATGAAGAGCCTGTACGGGTTGGGGCTTGGCCTGAACTCGATGGAGGGCAGGGAAGCAAAGCATATTGCTATATCTAAGTACTGTCAAAATACAGCATATGCACACCGATGGGAACAAGTTTTCCACCATGAATTTATTTCTTTAATTTGGCT